AGGATAATGAGCCCTTTGAGCCGCCGGATGGCCCTGTCGTGCTGTCGCTTGAGCTTCGCCAGCCGAGCCACTTCCGCCGCCTCGCGCTCCAACAGCACAATGGCAATCCGGAGTGCCTTCGCGTTCTTCTAGCGAAACCGCTGAGTGTTCGTCTCCAAGGTCGTAAGCGACCGACGGTAGACCCAAGCGAGGAGCTGCTCGTCCACGTTGGGCTCCGCCTACATCTTGCGATGGTAGCGCACGGACTGCTCCGCCGCATCCCTCTCCCTTGCCCGCTGTCTTTAGCAGCGGGCGGCACACGTCTTTGATTCCGGCGTGCGCGTCCGGGCCGGCGGGGCGGGTACAAGCACCCACCCCTGCCCACGTGGGGGGGGGCAGAAGCCGGCGGGACAAGGGACGACATGGGGAAGGCGCGGACTGCGCAGCCCTCGCGGAGCTGCGCATGGGCCGGGAGGGGCCGGCACCAGCGAGGGAGCTGCGGCGACGCTGCAGATCCGGAGCTACCCACAATGTCCACTTTGGAACGCTCCGAGGCAATGCGGAGGGCCAACTCCTCGTTGGCATCTAGGTCGAAGTCAGAGCGGCTGCTGGAGCTCGACATGGTCAACGGATTGGATCAAAATTTGAGAGGGGGGAGAAGAGGACGGAATGAGAGAGGAGAGCGAGTGTGCTAGGGTTCTGAGTGAGGAGCCGGATTGGGGGCTTTTGTGGGACAACGGTGGCGTCGGTGGTGGGCTAGGCCTGTCAGGCAGACGCGGACGCCCCATATCCGCCCTACATTTGGGTTGGATATGAGGGGCACCAGACAGCTTGGGCGTTTGAGGCCGGTTCGAGGCGCCAGATTGGGTTGATTTTTTGTGACCGGTCCGCCCGGCCGGGCATTTGAGATTGTTTTGGGGCGCCCATCTGTAGATGCTCTAACACCTTTAGAACTAAATTCGGGGTTACCGGTTTCATCACATAGAAACCACATACTATGTTTATAGCTACACATCGGCAACAACTCCAGTCAACAACGTCCGCCTCATCATCTGCGTCCACGATACTTCCACTGTGATTGTGGGAGGGAATAGAGGCGAAGATAGAGAAGGCACCATAAGGGGCGCAATCAACACCCTAGGTACTGACCCATCAGTCATTAGAGGCATAGTTCGATGATGATGTAGCGGAGAAGACGACAGAAGCGCGAGACTTCAAATTCAGTCGTAATCGTCTCTTTCACTCCCACTATGACCGAGGAGAAATGTTAGAATGGATACACATTGGAGATTACTGTAAATGCATCTAGTGCCACCCCTAGTTGGTTTTGGAGTATTGACGACAAACCTGGTTGAGGGACTAATGTGTTTGTGAGAATTGCAGGATAACACAGGTAGTAGTCCCTCACTGATTTGGTTTACCTACCGGAGATGACCCCTAAAAATTTATGAAGACATTGAAGACAAAGGTGGTATGTGAAGGTATTCACATTGAAGCCTATGACAAGAGAAGACATTGTGTGAAGACTATGGAGCACGAAGACTTAGTTGTTCCGTTGTTTCGTTTTCTTCTTTGTTGAGTCATAGGAACCACCGTACTGTTAAGTGGGGTCCAAGTGAACCAGTCAGAATGACTGAAGTGATGCTTAACCAAAATCCTATGTCTTCGAGCGAAGACAATGAGAGCAAATCTTATCCAGAGCTGGATAAGTCAGCTTTGCTTGTAGCTCAAGTAAAGTTGACGTGTGTGTTTGAAATCTGACCGTTGGAACACGTGTCAGTTCCTTAGTGACCCAGGGTCATTTCGGACAAATCAGGTCGGGTTGCCTAGTGGCTATAAATAGCCCACCCCCTACACCATAAATTGGTTGGCTGCTCAGAGTTAGTGCACGGCTTTTGTCGTTTGAGAGCAACCCACCTCGAAGCCTTTGAGAGAGAAATCCTTGCGAGGACAAAGCCCTAAACACCCAGAGCCAAAGAGTGTTAGGCATCACTGAAGTCTTCCTGTCTGTGTGATCTGAAGACTTATTACACTTGAGGACTGTGAATCCTCCAGCCAGTTAGGCGTCGCGTTCTGAGCATCCAAGAGTCATTATGGATCGCCGATGAACGAAGTCTGTGAAGGTTTGGAAGTCTACTTTGAAGACTTACCAGAGTAATTGGGCGAGGACTGGGTGTCCTTAGCTCAAGGGGAATAAGGTGAAGACACGGTCTTCTGAGTTAAATCTCAGCCTCCCTAACTAGACGTACAGTTGTCACAGCAACTGGAACTGGTCCAACAAATCATTGTCTTCAATGAGCAACTGGTTCTGTCCTTTCCATCTCTTTATTTACAGTTGGTCCTTGTGAAGTCATTGCCTGTTTGCATTATCTTTTGTCTTCACTGAGTGACTGCTTGTTCTGGTTGGCTTCATACTATCTTCCATCCTGATCTATACTGCCTAGCTGCTATTAGTCTTTGTGCTTTCATTTCATTGAATACTTGACTATGGCTTGCTTAGTGTAGTCTACCTTCCGCTGCATGGTAATAGGTTTATTTCTATCATTTGTTTTCGAAACTTCTATGTTTTGAAGACTTCCATAAAAATCGCCTATTCACCCCTCCCCCTCTCTAGTCGATCACTAGCACTTTCAATTACAAACTGGAGATGAATTGGAATATTGTAGAGATAAGAAAATATCTTCTTGTACCACAAGTCTTTAGGCTTCTTGCTCTCCAAGTTTGTATCACTATATATAACCCATGAGGGTCAGATCATTACGCCACCAAATAAATATTCAGGTTATCTATATTTTCTACAGTCGACAGTAAGATGCTCCTTCTCTGTCTTGCGAGACAGTAAGATATTTCCTTTGTCACGCTTAGCAGGCACGAGAGAGTATTTTTATAGCTTGGAGCCGTTGACAATACGAATATATTATAAATTAACATGGAAGCTCTCAATTTACTATGGACCACAATGAATTCACTTCATACAGCAGAGCACAAATCTCTATGGCATGTTCACCATAGGCACAACACAAATGGGTATGGGTACATTGGATACACTTCATGTCACTGAATTACTCTATATTAACCCATGGTTTATACT